GTTGGCCAAAGCGTTCCTTTGCATTTTTTTGCAACATCTTATGGAAAAACCTGAACGAACATTTTGACCAACCCAATACACAAAACATAAAATTCAAAAAAAAAGACAAATGCTTTCACACCTAGAGCCTTCTAAACATTTTAGTTTCTTTATTGCACAGTTAAAAGTTCATTTCATTCAAAATAATTATTGGTGGAATATTTTGTTTTTAGACTGATAAGCTACATACTTCTAATTCAAGAAAACATTCACATTCACCTTTTTAACCTAAAACACAATCCTAAATATTTTTAAGGAATCCAATGAAACCAATTATTATTCTTAATAAATCAGAGACATAAAAAAGAAAATCTCCTCCAATCACTGACGTATATGTCAACAAGGTTTGAACAGCGGGGGTCAGGGATGAGCATTACATGTAGATGCTTAAGGTTAAAGTATGTTCTGCAGAGTACACAAAAATCTGTCATCTGTGACTACAGCAGTATAAAGTTCTATAATCAATTGAAATGTCAGTTTAACTTCAACAATGTGAAAAAACCCTTATAAATACAATGATGTATAAAATGTTGTCAACAAATAATTCTCTATGCAAAAAAAAAAAGGAGTGAAAAAGCACGAATGACCTTGCTCAGCCCCTGCTGCAGAAAGTGATCCAAGTGATGCCAATAAAAACCAATGAAGAGTCCATCCCTCAATTCTTCACTTATGTAGGGATCTAAACCACAACCCTCAGTGCAAGATCTACAAGCACATCACACAACCATTCTTAAGACATGATCTCTTGGTGTCTGTCTGCCATTTTCTACAATGGAATCAGAAGGCCTAAAAAGAGCACAAAATACAGTACATCTCTAGTAACTGATTCTCTGGATTAACAAACACTCGCCATTCCCTCTATTAAATATTCAGACTGGGCCATGTGAACTGAATAGTGCCAGTGCACTATTCCTGCCCTTCCCTGTTGAGTTGCTTTTGCCAAGTTAACTGTCCTTCTTCGCAAGCTTTTTTATACCACCTGTTGGTATTGTCATGAATTGAATATTACAACAACTAATGGAATAATTATTAGGAAGGTCTTAAAGAAATCTAGTCCCACTCTCTCATTTACAAATGAGAAAACTGAGGTCCAAAGAGGGTGCTCACCATCATACAAATAGTTAAGGGTGGTAGATCTGGGACTAAAATCAATTGTATGAAATTCTATTCCAGAAACCATGCTGTCTCTTTCCACATTGACAGTCTCAAACATATATCATCCTGCTTTAATTTAAGTTGTACTGTGAGGGACTTCCCTGGCGGTCCAGTGGTTAAGACTCTGCACTTCCAATGCAGGGGGCACAGTTCGATCCCTGGTTGGGGAACTAAGATCCCACACGTCGCGAGGCACAGCCAAAAAATTTTAAAAAATAAAATTTTTTTTAATTAAAAAAATAAAAATAAATTGTACTGTGAAATATTCCATTAATCGGATTCTTCAGCCAAGTATTCAGACCTCTAGGCCCCATTATTCATTCTGTAGGTGGTTGTAAGATGTGTGTAAGCATGTAATGGTCATTTGCTACTTTTTCATCTGCTCTACATCCCTTCCCCTTGGGAAATGCCCCTTCCTCTCTCTATGCAATAATGGTAGGATTGTTATTTTCCCTGCCACAGGGTGGGCTCATGACGCAGGCCAAAGTGCACTAGTCTCCTAGACACAGCAGTTGGTGCAAACTTCGCCTCTTAGAGTTCTTTGGAGGAAATGCTTTGGGTGTTGGGGAAAAGGGTTATTTCTTCTGGATCACTAGCTCGGTGGATGATGAAGTTGCCAACAGCTATATTTGCCATCAGGTAATGAGACACAACAAAGAGAAAAATATTACAGAATATCCACAGCCTCTATTGATATTGATCCACAGACTTTCAGACCTCATATGATTAAAGTGGGCACTAGACTCAAAAGTCAGCAATTTTCCATGTTGAGGCAGGAAATAGATGGGCCCCAGGGTGAGCAGCCAGAGTTCATCCCCTGTGGACAGATACTCCAAAATAGCAGGAGGGAGAAGAGCTAAGCCCTGCCCAGATAAGAGATAAAAGACCACATATTCCTCATTCTTGAAGTCAAGGAGACCTTCTCCACTACACACGCTCAGAAAGGCTCCCTGAAGGTCAAAAAGGGAGGGGGTGCTACCCCATAGTAAGTGATGCCATCCTACCCATACACCTCTTCGCTGGAATCCGTCTTGGCTAAGACATGCAAGCACACACACATGGGAGGACCCTGAGATATACAGATATGGACTCAGAACCAGGCAAAGCAAGATGATTGGCCAAAGGAAACCCAGAAGAAATGCCCCATAAAAGTGATTCAAACTACCACGAGGACACAACTCTCTCTGAGCTCGCCCATGTGTCTATCCACAGGTACTGTTTTCCTCCTAATAAACACTTGTTTCACTACTTTCCGTCTCTATGTGGAAATTCACTTCTACAACAGCTGATGGGCCAGGGCCTTGTCACTGGCCACTGGTCCCTTGTGGTCTAGTGGCTAAGATTCAGCACTCTCACTGCCACGGCCCAACCTCAATCTCTGGCCATGAACCAAAATCCTGCTTCAAGCCACTGCAGGCTGAGGCCACCCAAGAGCAATGTGACCTAGTATCAAATGATGAACTAGGTCAACCAGGTTTTCTCTCAAAAATGTTAATTATAAAACATAGAAAATATTGAACAGTTAAGGTGAAGGGCCATGAGATAGCATTGGAGCCCTAGTGGAAAGACAGAATTGTGAGGGAGAAAACAAGGAGACATAGCAGATGTCATGAAGATGTCACATAAGAGAGAGAAAAAGAATTGCATATCTTTAGCATTGTTTAGATTCCTCACAGTTTTCCAGTTGGATGCTAACAAGATGCAAATGGTCCATTCATTTAAAACATATTTACTAAGAGCCTGCAAATGTTTAAAATACATGGAAGATTCGATTATTATAGAAAAATATTCACTTTCTCCCCTGCTCCCTCAAAGAAAAAAACATACTTCTCTGTCTCCTAACTTTAGGCTTGGCTAAGTATCTTACTTTGGCCAACAGGATATTAATAGGTGCTTAAAATGTGTTTCAGTGGTTGCATTTGCTCTCTTACACCTCTGTCGTCACCATGAGAACATGTCAGCCCAGAATTAGAGGCATGTGGACCAAGCATGCAGCATAGAGCCTCTCAGCTGATCATAGCCTATGTCAGTCAACTCCCAGGTGGCCCACAAACAGAATAAATGCTCACTGTTGAATGCAGTCGTGACGGTGTAGTTGTTACTCACTGATAGAATACACTGAGGATGACATGCTGTGGGCCACTTAAAGACTGTCCTTACTCAGGCTTTCCACAACATGTAACAGTATCTACTGAAAATCAACTAGCCAGAGCCAGAAGATGGAGATTAATAAAATATCACCTTTTCCCATGAAGAACTCCTATTCTAGTGAGAAAGTTGGACTCTGATCAAATGATCATAAAATAATGTGATATGAGGTTCACCCATATAGTGAGCTGAAGGTCTAACTCAGCAAGAGGAGTCAGCAGAGCCTTTACATAAGAGGAGATCGAAATAGAGGTCTGAAGGATAACAGTCATTCATCAAGTAGAGAAGTAGAAAGACTCTAAACAGAGGGCACATGTATACCAAAAACATTAAACTTCAAAGCATGTGAGGAGTTCAAATGGCAGCCATAGCTGAAACTTATCCTTATTCTAATGTAGACAACAATTCAGAATGAATATAAGAGATGGTCAACTAGAATTTTTACTAGGAATCACTGAAGTCATCACGATAAGATTTGATTGATCATTTTAAGGCCCTAATTTACTATTCTGATACTTTAAATTTAGTTGATGTTTACTTCACTATAGAAATTTCCTATAGATAATGATCTATGAGGACTTGCATTCTATTATCTTATAATACCATTTGTAACATTAATTGCAAAACCAGATCATTAATGCCCTGCAAAGGCTTTCAATGCATCAGCAAACAAATGATCTTTGAGTTGTGTCATGACAGCACTGGAAGGCCACTGTATGAAAAGGTGACTCGAGACAATTGCCAACAAAGTAACCGCCAAAATACTAAAAGCACAATCTCAAGTAACCTGGCAATAGCTGGGAAACTCTCCTCGAAATATAAGTCAGAAATGGAAAATGTCCCGTTGAATAAAGTGTTCGGCAGGAAACCCCAGGCAGAAGCATAACACTGGGTTGTAAACAATAAACAGATTTCACTTCAAGCAGTTTGGAAAGAGCGTCAGTGTCGTCAAATCAGAAAATCTTCAAACCTGCACACGACTGAAGTTACCAGCAACAGCAGCAACTTTTAAGTGCTAAAAGATAACCGCCAGTAAAAAAAATCAAAATACTTAGACACAGAGAATCTCTCTGATCTCTTCAAACCTAAGATAAACATGTAACTTTCGCGTGAAAGCGAAGCGGGAGGGCGCCGGGGCAGCTCTTGCGACTCCCTTCGCTCTCCGCTCCACCGAAGAAACCGAAGCAACACGTGCAACGTCACTGTCCCAACACAGTCAACCACGCTGATCACCAAGAGAGGGGACAGATTTGGAGCTAGAACCAGGCTAGGAGTTAAGAAGCAAGGGTAAGAAACCAGGGGAAGAAAGTAAAACATAAGCAGGAAAGAAGAACAGTATGGACTGGGGAGCGGCGGTCCCACCGACCCTACTGGCGAGCAAGGAGAAAAGTCCCTCAGATGCAGACTAATGTCTAGAAAGGGATCTTCTCCTTCGATCTGAGTTTCCCAGAACTCAGCCTCGGCTGCCCAATCCCTGCCCAATGCCACCTGATACCTCCTTTTGGCGCGACCCTTAGGTGAACCAAGGGGGCGCTTCTCAGGAGGCTCCCAGCAAAACTGTGAGGGAACTCCCCGAGCTGCCAAGGGGAGAATAGCTGCCTGTCGCTTGCGAGGGGAGTGGCCAAAGGCAAAAGTGAGTCGAGAGGGCTCTACCTTACCTGCCGCAGGAGCTTCCAACGGGCAGCACCCAAGGGCGCCGAGATTGCGGGTCCCTGAGCGGCGCTGCTGCTTGTCCGGCCCTCGCCCGCTGCGCGCTCAGCCTGGCCAGCCTCGGCGTCCGCGACTCGAGACTCCATCCGGCTGGAGCTGGCTATATCCGAGATACCGCCGCCACAGCTGCCCCTGCCAGGACCTGCCTACTTCTTCCCTGTCAGGATCTGTGACGCCAGGGTTGCCTCCCACTGCCCTAGCGCGCGCTCTCTCCCCGAATTCCGCATTTCCGGTAGTCGCGTCTCCTTAGCAACCAGGGCAGCGCGGCTCTCACCACTGCACCAGTTTGCTGGTGGCCATCTTGAGTGAGGGCAGACCGGAGGGTGAGGGAACTGTGGCAGACCTAGTGCGACGCCGCCCCCTTTGGTTCCCTTCTCTCCTGTTTCATCTCGAGCTCTGAAGACTAGCAAAGAACCAAAAGGCTTATATCTTTGAGCGTTAATGAACCCAGGAGGAGTAAAAAAATATTCCTGACCACAATAAAGATGGCGGAATCCACTTAGCGCTCGTGCCAGACGGGGGTTACGTAGACGGCGTGCTGCAAACCAGCTCCGGGCGGTTCTGGGTAGGCTGTCGTTCCGCTAGCTGCAGAACGCAGACTTCGGCTGACCGTGACTGAGGTGGCAGTTGCGCTCCTTCCTGAGAGCATCGGGTTCTCCGGCCTGCCTTCACTCGTTTCGGTGTCTAGAGCGAGACTGACTTTCAGTTTGCGTACGTATGGGGGGCGTAGGCTGGGAGTCTGTTCCCTTCACCCCGTCCTTACCCCCACCCAACCATCCCTCAGTCCCTTGGTCCTACCTTTTTGACCGATGTCCCTTCACTGCGTGGCACATGGTACCGTTCGGGAAAACGAATAGTTTCTCCCAGGAACACCCATTCGTCTACCCTACCCCTATCCCCAGCCTTGCCTGCTGTCTTCTCCCTGTGGGTGAAAGATGGATGGATGGAGGCTGCGGGCACGGATGTAGTGGTTTAGGGCCTTTATTTTATTTTCTCTTATTTTACTTTGTTTGTTTTTGCTGGTGTCAACTGCACATCCCCTGTACCCACTCCCCCGTTATTTTGCTGCGACATAGAAAGAGGTTAAGAGGGGCAGGGGCGTCGTAGCGGATCCGAGCAGTGGTAAAGCTGACGCACTATTGTATAATACCTTTGATACCGAGGAGCAGTTGGTGGAAGACTTCCATGATGACATTCAACAGTGTGCAACATACCTAGATTTTTCCTGCCCTAAAAATAGTAGCCACCGTTTATTGAGTGGTTACTACGTGCTAGACACTTCATTAAGATTTTAACATAAATTGTTTCATTCTTAGAATGGCTATTTCATAGAGTAAGTGGGATCATTATCTCTGTTTTGCAGATGATGAAACTAAGCACAGGTGCTAAGTGCAGGAATGAAGACCTGAACCCAGGTTTCTCTGACTTAACTACTTACTAGCTTTACTTACCTTGATAGGTTAATAAGCACCAGCTTCCCAACAGAAAACAGGTGGCGTCACATTTCATGTGTGCCTCCTGAAGTGTTTTTTGTTTTTTTCAACTAAAGAGCTAAACACCTTTTTGACATTAAAGTCCAGTTGTTGTTATGTCCAGATAGACTTATTGCTCTACTGTTACTGTTCAGGTGACCTGGGGTAGTTGCTTAAACCTTCCTGAGCCACAGTTTGCTCACCTGTAAGACCAACATCATAATAGCTACTCTATCAGGTCCCTATGAAGTTTAAATTAAATGAAGTATATAAAAGCATGTGGCACGAAGCAAACAATAAATACTAATCCCTTCTCCTCTACCTTTATTAAGTAATTGGTCTTTTCCAGTTTATCCTCCACATACAAACCAAAGATAAATTCTGAATTATGTGAAATCAAAGCCGTTTTGCCTTTAAAAGCCCTCAGAGTTCCTGAGATGCCTCCATTAAGTCTATGTATTTATTTGCAAATTTTTATTTTGTTTTTTTGTTTTCTGTTTGTTTTAGTTTGCCCATGTGTGTACCAGAATCAGTGCTGTTTGAGCCTGACAGGATTGACTTTACAAATGAGACATTTATGTCACATCTGCCAAGAAGTGTGATTTGAATTAAACTTTAACTTTTACAGGTTTTCAGATACTTTGAGTTATCAGCTGTCTGCGGTTATTTGTAACTGGAGGGGTACACAGCCCCAAAGGGGAGGGATAAGAACTGCAGATCTTAGATGCTCTAAGAACCCACTACTATATAATCATTCCTATGAAAATCATTCATGTGCTGGCAGCCCCAAAGGGAGCATAAACCAGGGACTTTGATATCATGCAGCAGAAGAGCAAATTATTTCTCCAGGCTTTGAAGTATAGTATTCCTCACCTTGGGAAATGCATGCAGAAACAGCACGTGAATCACTGTAACTTCGCTGATCATTATTACAGTAGAATAAAGTTGAAAAAATATCACCCAACCAAGTGTCTGCAGAATAAACCCAGGATATCAGAGTTAGCAAGAAACATCCCAAGTCGGAACTTCTCATGTAAGGTATGGACTGTTTAAGTTAACCTATGTGTAGGCCTTTAAGATTAATTTTAGTTTAAAAGTAAAGAATGGGTTGGATATCAGTTGCTAATTTTCTCAGTAATTCTGGTTTGATTTTTTAAATATTCAGGCTTAATTGTAGTCATATATATAAGTATAAAAGAATATATACATATATATTTATAGAGCTCTAATGTAATATATAAAAATGTAGATTTATAAAAAATGATTCACCTTAAGAACTCTTTATTGTGCCTGCCAGTGCAATTCAAAGTATAATTTGGCTTTCTAAAATTCCTAGACTAACATAATAGCTCTTAATAAAAATCTAATAATAATGCTGATTGTTTTATAAATCCCAAATTAGGAAACTTCAGTAAAGACCATGTAATTGTGTTACTTCTCTGTAAAAATAAAAAAAAAAAAAAATGAAAAAGCGATTTGCATTTTATACCACTTGTGTCCTTCAGGAAGATGCTTTCAGACCATTGTACTCTGGCCAGACCCCAAGCTTTGGGCATGACCTCAACCTTGAGGACCTGTTGCTCTTGCATGTAGAATGACCACATATCCTGGGTTGCCTCCGACAGTCTCAGTCTACGCATATTTTCCCTGTGTTATTATTAATAGTGTCCCCTTTCCTCTCAGAAGTGTCTTGCTTAGGATAGTAAATTATATGTGCATCCTAATTATTTGAGATTAAGCTATTTATGCTGCTCTTTGACACCCCTCCCCTGCCTCATACTTGCTGTGTTCCTTAGATTCCTTAAATTGTGTTTAGGGGTGATATTCTTGCAATATTTAACGTATTTTGTTATTTTAATATCTTAATTTCTGGTTTTAATTGTTTTGTTACATACTAATATTTTTAGTCTGTTTTGGCTTATTTTTTATTGTAGTAAAATATAGGTAACAAAATTTTCCACTTAACCACTTTCAAGTGTATAATTCAGTGGCATTAATTACATCACAGTGTTGTACAACTATTTGCAAAACCCTGTCCTCACCTGAAAAAAATACCCATTAAGCAAGAACTCCCCACTGCTGCTTTCCTGAGCCCCTGGAAACCTTTAATCTACTTTCTGTCTGTATGAATTTCCCTATTCTAGATAATTCATATAAGTGGAATTATATAATATGTATCCTTTTGTGTTTGGCTTATTTCACTTAGCATAATGTTTTCAAGATTCATTTGTATTGTAGCATATCTGGGAAGTTTGTTCCTTTCAGTGGCTGAATAATATTCCATTATATGTATATACCACATTTTGTTTATCCATTCATCTGTTGACAGACACTTGAGCAGCTTCATCTGTTTAGAAAAATGATATTTTTAATATTCTCAATTCTTCTGGTTTTTAATTTAATTTTTGCTCTTTTTGTAGCTCATACTTATTTGTTATGGGGAGTTTGGGGGGAGTTTTGTTGTTTGCTTTCAACTTTTTAATCTGTTAGTCGTAGAATTTTACTCTTTACACTTAAGTCATTCAAATTTTTCTTTTTATAGCATCTTAGTTTAGCACTTTCTGTACTCAACTTTTTTATGTCTTTTATTTCATTTTTATTTCTGTGTGTGTGTATTTGCACACGGGTCCTACTTTAGAAAGATAAACTTTAAAATTTTACCTATTGGACACATTTTACCATTTAGATCTTTTTACTTTGAATTGTGTTTAGAACACTTTGTCATCTTGTACTTTTATCTTAAGTCTTAGTTTATAAATAGTAGGCAGAAATTACCATCAGAGTGACAGCTGTGAGATTAGCTCACACCCTGTGCGGGAGTTGGACTATTTTTTCCCTCCATTTGTCCCTGAAGCAACTTTTCAGTTCTCTTTCATGGAATCCTGTCACCTGGAAGCTTTAACCTGATTCAGTAACTCCAAGAAAAGGAGCTTTATTAATAATTCTTTCGCCTGGTAGTGATCCTGCTTTCACATGTCGTATATCAGCCATTCCTTCTGTGAGAAATGATATGATCTAAAAACTGTGGTCTCTGTCCTTTACGATCACTGGGACCTGAGGAAGCTGTGAAGAGACCTGTAGTCAAGAATGCACATTTAAGTAAACATCCAGTCAGTTCCAACTTTGTCCACTCCTATGGGAATAACAAATTAGAAAAAGTAATTAGTGCCTGTAGACAAATTAAAATATATTTACTTAAAGACTTATAAGTTAACTAAAGAGTAAGAGAGGGCAGCCTGTGTAATATCATAGAAATGCCAGAAAGCAAGAGATCTAGCCGTCACTGGTGTGTCTGTGAACTAGTCAGGACTCTTATCTTTCTGACTGGAAATAAAAGGGGGAGTTTCAACTTGGTGTTCTCTAAAAGTCCTCCAAATGCTAAAATTTGGTGATTTTATATCTCTACCTTGTTACCTTACCAACAAATTGCTATCTGTACATTTGGGACTCTAGTACCAACTCCTGCAGTCAGGCTGTGTAGCAGAAATCCTGGGGAACTTTTTAGAAATGCAAATTCCTGGATCTCACCCCACATGTGCTGGATCAGAATCTCTAATGGCTGAGGCCTAGGGATCTCTTTTTTTGTTTTGTTTTAAGTTCCTCAGCTAATTCTGAAATTCTCAGTCTGCTAGTGACAACAGTGGACCTGCATTTAGGAACTAGACACGTTTGTGATCAAATGTTGCTGACCTAAACCTCATTGAATTCATTTAGTTCTGAAGTTCTTACTGGCAGATACTTTGACTTTCCATTTTACATTAGCCACATGGCAAGAGGAACTTATTCCATTACACTCATGCACCAGCTAGTAATATTCAAAGACTAGCATCAAACCAGATACCACATTTCTTTATCTTTCACATCATCCTGTTCTGTCTGCCTACAAAAATAATTCCTAAAATCTTTGATCATGATAAATTGAATGATATACAAAAGGAAAACCAAGTAAGGAAAAGAAAATGTTTAAACATTTGTTCATTGACCCTCTGCAATATAGATTAGCAGTTCTTACAGTAGTTTCTAAGATAGATAGGTTGACAGATACCTCCTTCAGTGGCACTAGTGATCTATGATTTGTGGGATCACTGGTTCTAACAGGTTCAAAACATCATCAGGAAAGAAGGAAAACTCAGGAAAGCCAGAAAGAAAAGAAAAATTGTACTCTCACAATAGTTGTTTTTTTTTTTAATAATAGTTCACGGAGTGGGACTGCATTGTAGCTACCACTTCTTTTTATAATTTAATTTATTTTTTTATGCAGCAGGTTCTTATTAGTCATCCATTTTATACACATCAGTGTATACATGTCAATCCCAATCTCCCAATTCATCACACCCCCCCCTCCCCCCCCCACCACTTTCCCCCCTTGGTGTCCATACGTTTGTTCTCTACATCTGTGTCTCAATTTCTGCTCTGCAAACCAGTTCATCTGTACCATTTTCTAGGTTCCACATATATGCGTTAATATACAATATTTGTTTTTCTCTTTCTGACTTATTTCACTCCGTATGACAGTCTCTACATGCGTCCACGTCTCTGCAAATGACCCAATTTCATTCCTTTTTATGGCTGAGTAATATTCCATTGTATATATGTACCATATCTTCTTTATCCATTCATCTTTCGATGGGCATTTAGGTTGTGTCCATGATCCGGCTATTTAAATAGTGCTGCAGTGAACATTGGGGTGTATGTGTCTTTTTGAATTATGGTTTTCTCTGGGTGTATGCCCAGTAGTGGGATTGCTGGGTCATATGGTAATTCTATTTTTAGTTTTTTAAGGAACCTCCATACTATTCTTCATAGTAGCTGTATCAATTTACATTCCCACCAACAGTGCAAGAGGGATCCCTTTCTCCACACCCTCTCCAGCATTTGTTGTTTGTAGATTTTCTGATGATACCCATTCTAACCAGTGTGAGGTGATACCTCATTGTACTTTTGATTTGCATTTCTCTAATAATTAGTGATGTTGAGCAGCTTTTCATGTGCTTCTTGGCCATCTGTATGTCTTCTTTGGAGAAATGTCTATTTAGGTCTTTGCCCCTTTTTGGATTGGGTTGTTTTTTTAATATTGAGCTGCATGAGCTGTTTATATATTTTGGAGATTAATCCTTTGTCCGTTGATGCGTTTGCAAATATTTTCTCCCATTCTGAGGGTTGTCTTTTTGTCTTGTTTATGGTTTCCTTTGCTGTGCGAAAGCTTTGAATTTTCACTAGGTCCCATTTGTTTACTTTCGTTTTTATTTCCATTGCTCTAGGAGGTGGATCAAAAAAGACCTTGCTGTGATTAATGTCAAAGAGTGTTCTTCCTATGTTTTCCCTTAAGAGTTTGATAGCGTCTGGCCTTACATTTAGGTCTTTAATCCACTTTGAGTTTATTTTTGTGTATGGTGTTAGGGAGTGTTCTAATTTCATTCTTTTACATGGAGCTGTCCAGTCTTCCCAGCACCGCTTGTTTAAGAGACTGTCTTTTCTCCATTGTATATCCTTGCCTCCTTTGTCATAGATGAGTTGACCATAGGTGTGTGGGTTTATCTCTGGGCTTTCTATTCTGTTCCATTGATGTATATTTGTGTTTTTGTGTCAGCACCATGTTGTCTTGATTACTGTAACTTTGTGGTATAGTCTGAAGTCAGGGAGTCTGATTCCTCCAGCTCCGTTTGTTTCCCTCAAGACTGCTTTGGCTATTCGGGGTCTTTTGGGTCTCCATACAAATTTTAAGATTTTTTGTTTTAGTTCTGTTAAAAAAAAATGCCATTGGTAATTTGATAGGGATTGCATTGAATGTGTAGATTGCTTTGGGTAGTATAGTCATTTTCACAATATTGATTCTTCCAACCAAGAACATGGGATATCTCTCCATCTGTTGGTATCATCTTTAATTTCTTTCATCAGTGTCTTATAGTTTTCTGCATAAAGGTCTTTTGTCTCCCTAGGTAGGTTTATTCCTAGGTATTTTATTCTTTTTGTTGCAGTGGTAAATGGGAGTGTTTCCTTAATTTCTCTTTCAGATTTTTCATCATTAGTGTATAGGA